TATATTGGCCATGTTGAACTCCGCCTCCAGTGGGCTGGTCCGAAATTCGTGGTGGAATACACCACTAAGTTATCCGGTGCCTAATATGAGGTCTTTCCTTACGACGTTCTTCCAACTTCCTCTTTGAGGGTCCTCGTCCTTTAGCTCATTGTCATGAAGCAAAGTCTACCGTCCGACGGGCCGATAAGAACGAGGGGGGGAGGTAGGAGGGAAGAGATTGATAGAATTTAATTCACAAGAGGGGGATGTTGTAAATGCAGAGATCGGCCGCTGAAGTTCAACATTCCTCATAAACAGAGGTGGAAGCGGGACGATCAGGGAATTGCATCGTCTGGTTAAAGCTTCAAAAATAATGCAGCAGGACCAGAATGGCAAGGTATAGCAAGGGCAAAATTTCAGATGTGTTTGTGAAGTTTGAAACCGCAGGCGCTGGCTAACCCCGCGAGAGTTGATCAGTGACCGGCAGGGTGGAAATCGTGTCGAGGCTGTGGTCACCTCAGTACGACCCCCCCTCACATCGGGTCTTGATACGACCCCTCTAACTTTGATTTGATGTGAATAAGCGAGTTCCATCAATGTACAGCAAAGCATTCAGTTGCAGCGTTTGTCCGTGGGTCAGATTTGCCGAAACCCCGCTCGAAACCGTCGAAATCTACACTCTCGATGAAAAGGTTCCATTCCCCCATTTCATAACCTTTGGAGCAGTGTGTGGTAGGGTTAGATAGAGCTGGATTTGCTACTACCGTACAATATTGGAAATTGATCTACAATAACTCTCTAATTCCTTATGAACTTGGAAAGGAAGACTGCCTTGAAAAGCGGAAGGTTTGCGCTTTCTGAAGTCTGTTTAGCTTTCTTCTACATTTTCTAGTTGAGGAGATATTGCGTCGAGGATCTATCGAGGACGGATCTCGGCCACTCTGAAAATCCGCTCCCTTCTTCACCATTGCAAGTGTAATTCGTTGGCAACGCTCGAAATGTGTCTAGAATACATTCTCCAACATAAGCAATAAGAAAAGGGGCAATCGTCATCATCCGATTTTGTCTGGGTATAGGCCATGCACTCGAAGTTGCAGAATCGATTGGAAGGTGTTATATGATCATGACCAGTTGACAAAAGCTGCATTGTAGTAAACACATTTCGTAACTCCTATAACCTAAAGAACAACTTCATTTGCCCAGGGCTTTCCTTCACGGTTGTCGTTTTTGCGACAGCGTCCCTAACAACAGTGTCATTCTCAACGAGGTATTAAGGGAGAGGGAGCGGGCGGTAGATAGAGGAGGTGCCTTTGCAGCGCGTGTGCACATGTGGCCCTGTTCCTTGCAAAGATGCACTTTCATTCTTTGTACTGCTTTCAAATACTTCCTTCTCGGAAGGTGGAGAGACGGAGCGACTGAACCTGCAAAGGATATTTTATATCATTTTTCTCATATCCTTGTTTTCTGCTGCGCTACACCTCTATCTGCACCACGATGCCACTGACGTTACTGACCCCCACGAGTACGACCCCCATGACCCACCTTGACAAATACGAATTCCCTGTCGAGGATTTTCTCGACGGATACTCACCCTGGTAACCGTTACTCCACGTATTTTCCATGCCATGCCAATTTGGCCTTCTCAAAAATATTATATATTCAAGATCCCTTCGGCGCCTGCAACCCGGTCTGCGGTTCATACATATACGCTTTTCAAGGGGTCTATGGAATGAATAGACGTATCATAAATTTCATGGAAAGCGTGACGGTAGTGACCTTCTTCAGCGCCTTCAACAATGGCTGAGAACATAACGTCTTCACGCGCTTATTGCTGTCGATTCCTTTAGTCCTACTTGAAATCTTCGGAATATGAAGTCAGCATGTCTCCTTCTGATGATAGAGTCTTTTAGTATTATCATCAGCAGTATGTCCATTGCTGAGTTGTGTTTAATACTGCACCAAACACAATAAACATTCATATTTATTTATTAATGTTTATTAATTTACATATAAATAATTACTCATACAAATATACAGATTACGGTATCGGCGAGATCGTAATGTACATGTGTCTTGCGATAAACAATAGTAAACAACTCGAGCAGTACCGACAACACAATAATTAGCCCCTATTTACTGCTGATCGACAGCCTTTTGGATTGGGATGGTTCTGGCGGTGACGGCTGGTTTCGGCTTGGGCACCTCGATGGCCAGCTGACCGTTCTCAGATAGGGTGGATCGGATCTGCTCGACGTCAACATCTTCTGGAAGAGTCCATCGACGAAGGAATGACCTGCAAAAGAGGGAATTCAGCGATTTCATGGAGAGAGGGCGAACCAGTGGATTTCGAAACTGTAGACTTACCTGCTGGTGTAATTTGAACCTTCACTGATTTCTTGCTTGCCTTCAATCGTTAGAGTTCGGCCATCGATGTTCACCTTCAGTTCATCTGGCTTGAATTTCGACACATCCAGTGAAATCGCCAGCTTTGACCCGTCATCGGTAACCTAAATAAGGGGTTTCATAGCACTGTACAGTATAGAGCGCACACTGTAATTCCATTGAAACTTTGACATACCTTGCCTAAATGTCCTGCAAGAGCTTTCCTTCCCTTCCTTCGCGCAACAGAGTGGATTGGTGGCTCAATCTGGGCGAGCTCGTTGAAAACGTCGTCGATCTCGCTGAAGACGTCGTCGAGAAGACGAGGGAGGATCGCCGTCTCGCCTGCCCACGGGTGAATGCAGATCGCCATTGTAGATTGCTTCGAAGGTTAGCCTCAGAACGCTGGAGTCACC